TTCTAAGCTTCAACGAAAGATTATTTCTTGCGATTATTCCGATAGATTAATACATGACATTCGTAGACATTAAAAGTATGTAATTAGATTGTGAAAATAGACGTTAATTATTTTGCTCAAAAACCCGGAATCAAAACTGTTATTAAGGTTTCACAGGATACATTCGATGGCTGATTGACCTAAATTAAACAAGCCCGAGTGTATAACCGGTTCAATGAGGGAGTATTCAAACTTGAGATAAGTTTTCAGCCATTCTAAAAAGACCAAACGTGAAAACTTGTCTTACGACATTACGTTACGTAAATCTTAACCTATTCCTTATTAAATTTACCAACCAATTTCCGGAATATCATTCGAAACTATACAATAATATTCTCTGCTGTGTTTTATATAAATGTACGTATGTATTATAATATTATAATGTATACAGGCTGTCCCACCTAACCTAACCTAAATATCTCCTTCAGTTGTGTCGATCCAGAAAAGTATTTTACGTGCAATTTGAATATCATGAAATGACGTACATATATACGCCGCAAAGAATATTTTTGTTTCAAGGTCATTTTTTCGGAATTTTCAAAGTCACTGCTGTTTTTTGCATATAAATGCAATTTTTTATGTTGTATATTATAGTTGACATGGAAATGTATTCAGAGATGTGTAATGATATGACCTTGAAGTGACTTTTGACACTCAAAATTAAACATTTTTGGTGACAAGTATGGGTTAATTAGAAAGAGACGTACCCAGAAGAATAACCGCGACAAAAAATAGTTACCATTAAAAAACGACGACGAATTAGTCTTCTGTGTTTCTATCTCTTGCAAATAAGCATCTATAAAATTTGAGCCTTCTGCTGTTTCCTTCCATTTATGCTTCGATACAACTTCCTGCGAAAATAATGAAGAATGCTAAAAATAGCAAGTGACTACATGATAAAACGATAAATGTGTAAGCAAACAGTAGTAATTCAAATAAATCTTTCTTCTGTAAATAAAGTGATACGTTGAAAAAAAAAACTAAATATTGATTTTTCCTTTGTTTTAAAAATTATTAAATACACATGTATTTCGAGAAATCCTATCTAAAGTTTCGATTCGTACCTTTTAATACGAGATATGCATATAACATTAACGAATGAATAACACAAATTTCATCCAAATCTGTATCAATTTTTATCTCAAGGTCATTTTTTCGAAGTTTTCAAGGTCACTGATTTTCTTTCGCATATGAATGCAAATTTTTTTATTCTACGTATTGTAGGTGATATTGAAATGCGTTCGTGCATGATACGACCTTGAAATGACCTTTGACTCTTAAACTTAAGGTTAAACGTTTTTTGGTGACAAACGTGGATTGCAACTTACCATAAAGAAATTGTTTATACGTTTCTGTCGTTCTACAAACACTGAAAATCCTGTTAATTTTGGGAATAAATGTCTCAAGAAGGGGAATTGGTTTATAATACCACCCGAAACATTCGAATTCCTAGTAAGTTCTTTCAATACACTTATCGCTTCTCTTAGCTTCGAACTTTCCATTCCTATGTCAAATCTGAACATTGGAAAAGATGATTTAGCAACAAACACTATTTAAGAAATAATATACACTTTTTTTTTATTTTAATCGTATACTTTGTGCCATCTATGAGGAGCCATAAATTGCTCAAAACAGCTACAGAAATGACAGATTGAATATTTGTAATTGCTCCTTCTTTCGTTAATTCAACAACAACATTTGTCAATGAAATTGCGTCGTGCTGGAGTATATGTTCCATTGCATCTTTTCCGAAGCCAAATTGTTTCAGTGTTCTTAATGTAAACCTATTGGAAAAAATAAGCTAGTGTAATACCACTGATATAATATTTTTAATTATGCTCTTAACTATTGATTCGTAAGGACTTATGTACATTTTTACACTATATACACTAATGTCTAAAAGTTTGAGAACACGCAACGTTCAAACGCGTAATTATGGTTTAAAAATTCAAGTTTTAACTTAATTTAAAAAAGAAAACGAGAAGATTCAATTTTCGACTCAACTTAGAAAAAACGAAAAGATTCAATTTTTGACTCAACTTAGGAAAAACGAAAAGGTTCAATTTTTGACTTAACTCAAAAAAACGAAATGACTCAATTTTTGACTCAACTTAGAAAAAACGAAAAGACTCAATATTTAACTTAACCTAGGACGAAACGGAAAGATTCAATTTTTGACTTAACTCAAAAAAACGAAAATATTCAATTTTTGACTTAACTCAAAGAAACGAAAAGATTCAATTTTTCACTCAACTTAGGAAAAAAAAAAAAGTTCAATTTTTGACTTAACTCAATAAAACGAAATGACTCAATTTTTGACTCAACTTAGAAAAAAACGAAAAGATTCAATTTTTGACTCAACTTAGGAAAAACGAAAAGATTCAATTTTTGACTCAACTTAAAACGTAACGAAATTATTTTACAATCTACAAGCTTCAAACTGAAGGCTACAAAAGTATTTTACTTTGAATATTACAAATTTTGAAAAAATTATAGAAAGTAAGTCAATGATCTCAAACTTTTGGAACGATATGTACATTATTAGTAAATTTCTATATTGAGTTATTTCGAATAATGAATAAACAATATAAATAAAAAATTTTCTTTCAAATACACCTCCTTTGGCTGTGCCAAACGTCGGTATCTGTGAACAATATTCCTTGCCGTGTACCACCGCTTCGAAATTTAAACAGAAATCCATTCGGTCTTCCGTCAAATTCAGATCGGTTCAACATCTCCGTGATAGCAGCTTTTCCAGAAACAATAATCAACGGCTCATCGAAACCTAATCTGAGTCCAACGACAGGCCCATATTTCTCAGCCAATCGACACCAGGCACCGGAATAATATTTCGTCTGTTTTACTAAGTTCACGATATCGAGTATATTTCCAATGACGGGCAAACCTCGTGGACCTTAAATATCAATATTATTTTAATTCCATTAAAACTGCAGTTACATTTCGGAACTTTTGTGCAAGCTTGTGTTACCCGGAGGAAATTTCGATGATCGATTGCGGTCGAACAATATTTTCAAAATTAACACAATCACCAGACACAGAATACTGAACCACATTGTCAACTCGATGAATATTCACAAATATCCTGAAGTATTGTTAACGTAACTATTTCAACTGTTACAATGTCCTCGTAATCAAAGAGTGCTGTAAAAGTTCTAAAAAAATTTTCATTGTATCACAGTTGTGCAGTTTCGAACACAGGAAACATTGCAGCAAAGTTATGTCATCGAATTTTTCTTATATTATTATTTTGTTCAACGCAAAATCTTCGTTCACATTCATTCACGTTTCTTCTTCTTCAATGCAACCGGTGAATTCGCATAATTTTTGACGTCTTTAGAACGCTAATAGTCATTTAGACCGTTCCTATGCTACAACGAAAACACAAATAACTAGAGAAAGCGCAAGTTTACTTCTCCTTCAAAAGATGCAACAGAAAAAACTGCACCGATCAGTCGGGAACGCATTATATACGGAAAATAGACCTTTCACCAAAGTATTGGCTAAGGCACACCAGTAGTTAAATGGCGAAGTATGTGTGATATGCAGCACCCTAAATTGTGTAACTTATGCAGCGTTACTTAGGTGCACTCGCAAACCGACTAGTTATTACGAAATAAATCATTTCTGATACAATCCGATTTAATAAACAGTTATTATGTCATACACTTTTAATTGACTATTACGTAGTTTGTTAAGACCGTCATACGGAAATCACCGTAAATTAGTTGCAATTTTCCTAATCAGAAAAAACTATCGTAGTTTTTTTTTTTTGGAGATGTTATTACTCGTAAAAATTACTGTATTTTGGATTCTTAATAAGTATTAATTAATTTTCTATCTTTAGCCCCACTTAATAGGCCTAAATCTCTCCGGATTTTCAAGGGACTCGCAATTAACAAAAACAAATTTTTGTCTCGAAAGATACTATCACTCGTAAAAATTACTGTATTTTGGACTTTTTAATAAATATGAAATAATTCTCTTATACCTTTAGCCCTCTTTAATTGCAATTGTAATCTTTTCTGAACTTCTTACTGCATCCCTGTAACATAAATTATTATTACACCTTAAAGTTTGGCAATTTTGTCCATGTAATATTGATTGAGATATAATTTTAAATGCTTAGAATTCGTTTATTTCCTCGAAATCTGTATTTTGAGAATTCCTATTGTTCAGAATGTAATTTCTTTGCGAGTGACGGGAAAACTTAAACACGATTAAATTTTCAACGATCGTTAGGATGGTTATTTCTTTTTACTAATTTTCAACTAATTCTATTCGCCAATTTAGTCCACGTGGAGTAATAAACGTTTTCGTTCAGTCGGACAGATAATGTTGGGATATATCCGGAAAAGTGTAAAAACACTTGCGACCATAATTGAACGGTTCTGTCCGAGAGCAGTGGTTTATGACGCCGGTTGTTAGTTTCGCCAACCTATTTAGATTCGTTCTACATTTATTCTCCATTTGTCTTCCAACTCCCGCCGTCTTATGACATAATTACAATTGTAATTTCTTTTATTCTTTGTTTCCGAAGTTTCGTTATTGTCCCATTTTATTTAACCATGTATCCACCTTTGTTTAATCTTCACCATCTGCGTAATTGTTTTAGCGTCTCTTACTTTCTAAATTCTACTCTCGCCGTTTCGTAAAACAGTTTCCTTTCCTTTTCGTTTAGCCAGAAGTTAACAGCACTTTTTTTCGTACTGAAAATCAATGCCTGCCTGCTCCATTTCTTGCGAACTTCCATCATTCAGCAAGCTTGAGAGAGACGGATAAGCTTCTTCTGTGACGAGAGACGACGGAATCGCTTGATTCTTCAATATTGATCGCTGTACTTATCATTTCTTTTGCGATATTGCCAGTTATTAGTTTTTCGTTACGCGAAATATTTTACACCGATTCATTTCTTTCGCAATAGTAACTTTTTCGACACCGATTGAAATTAATTGGGTTAACTTTTATTCCTACTGGGAGTATATAGTGTTATACTAGAAACTACACTAACAAGGGAAAATCCTGAAGCGATAATCACCGATTTTTATGAAACTGTGGTACATAGTAGTTTTCAAAAAAAATATTCGACGCATATTTTTTCATATCGGCTATCGTTCACAGTGAAGGGGTGAGAATTGCCCGCAAAGTTAGGGGTAGTAAATATATTCGATCTAACATCTCGAAAATTATTGGAGATGGACGAATTTCGTATTTTTTAACAACGTAT